CTGGACAGCTACATGTAAGAGAATGAAACTGGATCACTGTCTAACCCCATATGCAAAAGTAAATTCGAAATGGATCAAAGACCTGAATGTAAGTCATGAAACCATAAAACTCTTAGAAAAAATCATAGGCAAAAATCTGTTGGACATAAACATGAGCAACTTCGTTACGAACATATCTCCCCAGGCAAGGGAAACAAAAGCAAAAATGAACAAGTGGGACTATATCAAGCTGGAAAGCTTTTGTACAGCAAAGGACACCACCAATAGAACAAAAAAGCATCCTACAGTATGGGAGAATATATTCATAAATGACAGATCCAATAAAGGGTTGACATCCAAAATATATAAATAGCTCACACACCTCAACAAACAAAAAGCAATTAATCCAATTAAAAAATGGGCAGAGGAGCTGAACAGACAGTTCTCTACAGAAGAAATTCAGATGGGCAACAAACATATGAAATGATGCTCCACATTGCTAGTCATCAGAGATATGCAAATTAAAACCACAATGAGATATCACCTCACACCAGTAAGGAGCGCTGCCACCCAAAAGACAAAGAACAACAAATGTTGGCAAGGTTGTGGAGAAAGGGGAACCCTCCTTCACTGATGGTGGGAATGTAAATTAGTTCAACCATTGTGGAAAGCAGTATGGAGGTTCCTCAAAAAGCTCAAAGTAGAAATACCATTTGACCCAGGAATTCCACTTCTAGGAATTTACCCTAAGAATGCAGCAGCCCAGTTTGAAAACGACAGATGCACTGCTATGTTTATCGCAGCAGTATATACAATAGATAAGAAATGGAAGCAACCTAAGTGTCCATCAGTAGGTGAATGGATAAAGAAGATGTGGTACATATACACGATGGAATATTATTCAGCCATAAGAAAACAAATCCTGCCATTTGCAACAACATGGATGTAGCTAGAGTGTATTATGCTCAGTAAAATAAGCCAGGCAGAAAAAGAGAAGTACCAAATGACTTCACTCACCTGTATAGTGTAAGAACAAAGCAGAAACTGAAGGAACAAAGCAGCAGCAGAATCACAGAACCCAAGAATGGACTAGCAGTTACCAAAGGGAAAGGCACTGGGGAGGATGGGTGGGAAGGGCGGTGATGGGGGTGGGGGGAAAGGGGCATTATATTTATCATGTATAATGTGGCAGGGGGTGCACAGGGAGGGCTGTGCAACACAGAGAATAAGTAGTGATTCTACAGCGTCTTACTATGCTAATGGGCAGTGACTATAATGGGGTTGTGGGGGGACTTTGTGATGTGGGGAGTCTTGAACATAATGTTTGTCATGTAATTGTAGATTAATACAGCAAAAAATATACATATATATATAATCACAACAACAACAAAATCTGTGCTGCATTTGGTGGGATTCCTTCAATTCTATCATCCGGTTCACTTATTCTTCAACTTTGTTATAACTGCCATTGAAGTTATTACCTCTAGAGATTATATTTTTCATTTCTAGGTCTGTGGCCCTTTTCCCAATATATCTGTTTACTTCTGATAATGTCTTATTCCTTTGTCACACTTTTAATACTTCTTGAAAAGTTCTTTAAATAACACATCAAACATATTTAGTGTGAATTTATATACTTTGGGACTTGGTGAAATGTCTTTGAGGTTTAGGATCAAAGGCAATTCCTTCAGACACAATATGGATCTGCTTCTGCCAGGTACCTGGGGCCCCTAACAACCTACTTTCGACTTAACTTTCCACTGAGGTTTTTCAGGCAGTACAGGAATCGGACCCTGAGCCCATGGAAAAGTCGCCTGTGGTAGGAATTCTCTGGACAGCTGTGTTTACTTCTCTTCTCAGAACCAAGGCTGAGACAAGATCTTCTCTGCAGAGCAGGCTCTTTCCCATTGGCTCCGAGTGTGACCCTTCGGCGTTCCTTTTTGGGAAGGAAGGCCTCCATTCTGATCTTCTATCCTGCTTGGGCCTAGGTTGTGTTTCATGGTGTCCTCTGCAGTATGTGTGGCCCACTAAAATCCAAGCTCTAAGCTACCAGAGATGGACACACGCTGGCTCTAGCATCCTTTTGGTCTCTGATTCTGAGAATTTCCTTAGTTCTTAGCCAGTTCAGATTCAACTAAATGAATTTTTTCAAATTTTACTCAGCACTTTCCCAGTCCTGTGTTGACAAGATACTCTACGCATCTGTCAGCCCTGCTACCAGGCAGGAGTAACTGGGATCTTTCCATCACACTTTGCTTTGCTCCCACAGATTTATTTTCTCTCCTCACAGTATGAACTCTGCACGAGCACACTGGGTTTCTGATGCTGCGTGACACTGGGGAAGATGCTCAATCACCAAAGGAAGGCAGCCTGGGCTAATCATGCCGAGGCTGTCACCCCCCCATTTAGTAATACTAAAAAAGCACCCCGGTCATGTCATCCTACTGAAAGCAAGCTGAGCAGTTCCCCATCCTCCCCCGCATTCCTCCATCCAGACATTCGCAATTTCCTACCACATTGCCCAGTTCTCCCCGTGTGAACCTGATCAATCTTTAACTGTTTTGCAATCTCCAAGTGCATATTCCATTAACCAAACATTTGCCAGGTGTTAACACCTGCCTGATTTTATGCCAGGGACCAGGGTACAGTATGAAGAGGGTAGGGGCTCCACTTCTGAGGACTCTCTGGGTGGCAAGGCAGATAAGCAGGTGCCTTACAGTGCCAGCCGCCAATACTGTCAGGAGAGATGGTGGGCGGGTGGGGCCCAGAGAGGGAATGAGGGCCAGGTCGCCAAGGTCCTTGCATGTCACATTCCATGATTTGATTTTTGTTATCAAGCAAGAGGATTAAAATCAGATCTCTGTTTTTGGAAGAGAGCAGAGCAAAGAGCACCCAGAAGCAGAAAAACTAGTCAGAGGGCTGTTTTAAGAGTTCAAACAAGAGACGATGAGGATCTGAACTCTGGCCCTGATCTCTCCTTCCCTGCACTTATTATTACCACACATTTCAGGAATTAATTAAAGGCTGCCTGATACTGTATTCTTAAAATAGACCTCTAGTTCCATTCTGATCACACTGTATAGAAATGGCTGATTTCATTACTTTTCTTTTCCATAAGGACCACGTCTCATTTGTCTCTGTATAACTACACCTACCACACAATTCCTAGTATCTAAGACATATTCATTACACCTTATTTAAATGAATAAATATACTATCATCTCCATTTAGGTGTTACCTGCCCAACCAGGTGAAATCCTTGAAAACGGGGAAACAGCACTTATCCTTTGATGTCCCTTTGCACGTGACTACCACACAGCAGATGCTCAATTAAGAGCCAATGAATCAAATATCACGGGACTTCTCAGCTCTAACTCACTTTCTAGAATCAAGTTTAAAGTGCAACAAGAACTGGCTCAGACCATCCCCAATTCCCAGCAAATCACCAGCATGCACACCCAAGAAAAACCACTTTCCCTGGTAATAATCGTGTTACTACCTCGCCAATGGCCGTGATCTTGCTGAGGCAGCTCCTCATGGCTGTGCTGTTGGCACTCTCTGGGGCTCCCTCTTCCTCCAGGGCAGCCAGATAGATGAGGGTCTCCTTGCCACACTGCTTGCAGGCCTCGGCCAGTGCTGGAGACGCAAAGTGACACAGGCTTTGACAGACCCTCTGCTCACCATTCTTTCATGAAGGGCCCCTTAGCCCAGTACTCACAGTCGGCAGGCTCTGGTGGGGATCTAAGGCAGGTGGTGCTGCCGTGAATAATGGTGTCACTGGTCAAGTGGGCAAGGAGGGTCACCGAGTGGAGAAGCCCACTGATATCTGCCAGGAGTCAAAGGACAGTTTCTCAGCCCTGCCTGAGGGCTGTCACTGTCCTGCCTCCTCCTTCCCCAATTTATGAGTTACACACACTACTTTCTTGGAGCACAGCAATCTGTCAGTCTCTCCATATTCAAGCATTTCTGAACCTTGCCCAGGTGTGATCCTATCCTTGGCCTTTCTTACCATCCGGGGAGGCACAATACAGGCTCCATTTCTCTTCCAGTTGCTCAATGCAGCCGGAAACAGACCTGACCTTGGCGAGGAGGTGATCTGCAAGAGGGCAGACAGGGCAGAGTCAGAGCCATGGCTGTCAGAGCTTGCTGCCTCCCATTAATGGCTCCCTGGTGGCTGAGCCTACTTAGGGAGTGGCTGCTGCCTGAGGTGAGGAGGCAGGAAAGACTGTCAACTACACTGGTACCTGAGTCTCTTACTGTGGCTTCAAAGGCTCTGCTCCTGAGCCTATCTGGTCCCTTAGCCAAGAACCAGTGCAAGCGCACCACCAGCCCCGGCTCTGCAGCTGTTTCCTTACCGCCACAGAATAAAGTTCCAGGCCTTCCTGTTAAACCTTTCAAGGCCCTTGGGCTCCCATTACTCATAAGCCCAGGCCCTTGGCTCCATGAGGCTAATCTGTGCTCATGCTCTGCGGTCACACACTGCTATCTCTGGGCACTGTTCCAGGGAGGCCGTCGTGGAGGAGTCACAGCCTGGCCTCGGGTGACACAGCATGGCTGGGGCTCCTGGCTCTGGCGTTACTGGCTGCTGTCTCAGGTCATCTGTGCCTGCTCCCTCATCTGAAAACAGGAATAGTAGTACGACCACTCTGTGCCACTGTGAAGATATGCGGGGCCAACGCCCAGAAAGAGCTTCCGAGGGAGCCTGGTGCACAACAAACGCACAGCTGGTGCCAGCTCTTCCCCGCTTCCTTCCTCTCCACTGGTTCCTGTCTGTCTTCCTTAAAACCCAGCTCCTAACATCTCTTCTCAGAATCCGCCCACAGCTGCCCCGTTTCCTGGCCTTCCCTCCCTCAGAAGTGAGGGACCCTCTGCTTCTGCACTGGGAACCCTTGTTTCCTTACAGATGGGCTCCCTCCCCAAATGGAGGCCTTTCTATCTGATAATGAAATCAACGGCCAGCTGCTTCCTCCCGTCTGTCTTCAGTGGGCCCTCCTACTGCCTGGCCAACACGTCCCCTCTGCCTGATGATGAGTGGTGATGAGATCTGTTCAGGGCTACACCCATGATGCACAGCCCCGGGGCCTGTGTGCACCCCACCTGCTGTGTTGAGGCCCCTCTCAGGCACAGGGCTTCTTTGATTGGCCCGCCGTGCCACTGCATGCCCTTAGGATGCTGGCACACATGGCACTGCACATCCCCATCCTGGCTTTAAAAATTGTCATCAGGGCTCTGCTCCCAGTGGGCATTTCAAAGTTGTGACTCCCCGACTAAAGCAGTGGTCACCACACTGGGGGCTTTGGATAATACTACTGTCCAGGCCCCATGCCACAGAGCTGGTGGGGGAACTCTTAAGGTGGCACCTGAGGACCCCAGGTGATTCTGGCTTGCAGCTGGGCTGAGCACCCCTGGGCAGAGGACCTGCAGATCCAGTGCAGCTGATGAGAGGGGGTTCCTCAAGCTGCCTCAAGGCCTCCTGGACCACCTGCTCTGCAGCCTTCCTTGACTTCATCAGAAGCATTTTTCGTTGGTCCTTCGCGAGCTGGTACACAGATTCCTAGAAAGGGTCCAGGGAGGTGAGAGTCTGCCACAGAATGTTCCTTCCAAGTAACATCCACCATAACATAGCTGTGATTCCTGGCATCTTAGCTCAAGCTGTTGCTTCTAAGGCCTAAGCCAGCCAGTTTGAAGTAGGAAAAATGCCAGCTTTGTCTGCAGGTGCACGCACTGAGAACAGGAGGCGATAGGGACAGATTACTGCAACATATTCTCCACTCCTGGGGAGACACGACTGGTGCATCTCTTTTCATATGAAAATGAGAGAGCTCTGCCGTCTCTCATCTGCTCTTTGGACAACACAGGGAATGCTGGCTTTAGGAGCTATGCCTACAGTAGGCTCCAGACCACTTTCATGACCCCAGCCTCTGAGAATACACCACTGAGGCCCCCGGCATGAGGCCTGACCTGGTCAGCCCAAGTGGATGTCGTTACTTGCCTGCGTCCTGCCCAGTTTGAGCTGGATGACTTTCAGCTGTTCCCGAAGGGCAGCTAATTCCTCCTCACGACAAGCCATGGCTTGCACCAACCCAGCCCGCTCCTTCTCCATCTCAGACATCTGGGTTGCCCATTTTGCTTCTGACTGCAATGGTGACCATGGGGGAGGAAGGAGATGCTGGGGAGTTAAACTGTCCCCTTCCCAGAAGTCCCCACCCACCACCAGGCCACAAGGATCTGGAGGTGATCTCTCCTTAACCTTTCATTCTCCTGAGCAGACACTGTCCCAGATGGGACCAGCTTGGCCAGATGCTGGATGGGGATGGTGCCAGGTGTCAGCAACACCAAAATCAGAGGGGCAAAGAATGAGGCAGGGCAAGGAAGGAGGGGATGATCACCTGGGCAGAAACTTCTAGGCTGCCCTGGACAGTCTGGAGCTCCCGTTTGCTTGTGGCAAGTTCTTGCTTCAAGCTGTCTAGGACTTCCGTCTGTTCTTGAGTCTGAAAGATGAGGACAACAGGAGCACTCTGATCTGGTGGTTACAAGGGACAATCACACGTGAACACCCCCAAGCTATAAATGGGAGATCTGGGTTCTCTTCTGTAGGCATGTTTACTGTAACAGGAAGTGGGTGTGGGGGAGGAGGGTGCCAAAACCTTTCTTCTGGCTAAAGGGAATGTCAAGGGGGGGGATTTCAAGGACATCTCACAAAGCTCCCGTTTGAGCCCATAATACTCATTCAAGTACAACTGGCTCTTCCATTCAGGCACCCCAATACCTGGTCTGCTGATGAACCTCACCATCCTGAAACAATTCCCCTTCTTTGATTTCTAATGGTACTTTTTGAAGAGCTGTTGTGACCCAGTAAGAATGCACAGCTAACATTTAAAGAAAAAAATGGAATAAACAGAGCAAACAAATACCCAAATGCATTCACCTAATAAGAGTAACTGCTGCTTTGTGAAACTTTTATTCCTTAGATAGATGTGTGTTTTACTTTGGGTCACAGAAAAGCATGAAAGCCACTCTTCTAGGTGTCGGGCACCAGTTTTGTCTGTCAGCCCTCTCTCCACCCTGCCCTGCCAGCCAGCCCCACCCTGACCCACGGGCGTCCTCCCGCTCTGCGTCTCTGTAAATGGTCATTCCCCTCTCTGATATTCACGTTTCTTCAAACTCTCTTTGAGGTTGGTCCATGGAAAGCCTTTGGTGATGCACCCACGCAACCTGGTCCCTTCATCATTCCATGCCTCTAACCCTGTATATGCTGGTGACATCCTGTGTCCCATGTCCTCTTTGGCATACTCACAGGGCTCCAACCCACAGAGCTGCCCGTGGAGCTTAAGACAGGCCTTTCCATGTGTGCAGCACTCAAGGCCCACTCCCAACTTGGAAGGATGCCTCCCTCGTTTCCCTGCCAGTCTCCTTCCTCTCACCCTCCTCTGGGCTTGGTCACTTATACGCTGGAAGGAATCCTCTAGCTCTTTTTTCTCTTGTTCCAAATCCACCTGTGCTTGTCTGGCCACAGACACCTGTTTGGTCACCTCTGCGTTCTGTAAGGGAAGAACAGTGTCTTGAGCTGGCTTGATCTCAGGCTTAAATGATCTCTCCCTCCTAGAACCAACAGTATTCAGATCGCGAATGGCCTGGGGTCAGACACAGAAATCACTTTCCTACCCAGAGGGACACTAGAATAAAGCTCTCATCTTCAGATACTCAACTCTCAAGCATTTACAAAAATAATAAAAGATGAGGGGATTATGCAAGTGGGGCTGGCACCTAGGGGGGAGCTCAAGATAGGGAAGGCGAGGGATCCTGGGAAGCCATGGCTCCCAAGAACTGTGGTGACCTACCAGAAATTGATGGGGGCACTGGATCTGCCCTGAGGGGTAGGGCCTGTGCGAGGCACAAGGGACATGCAGGCCTTACCTTCCGCAGCAGGTCGGCGTGGCTCTGCACCAGCTCACTGTACTTCCCCTTCAGCTTGCTGTACCGCTGCTCATTGGCCTGGGCTTTCCCTGTATTGTCAAAGACGAAGGTGAGGAGCCTCCTGGGTGGACTCTCTGCCTTCCCTTCAATAAGCCAAGCCCCTAGAAGACTCTCTTTTCTTTTTGCAAATGCACACCTTCTCCTTGAAACACCCTATGTCAATACACTTCCACTGTCACCTCTTGGGAGATGACTCATCTGTGCGTTCCCCATGAACCTCACTGGGGGCTCTCCATCAGGTGGACTCCAATCTGCTCTCCTGACTTCAAGAGCTGGCATTCCTGACAGCTTTCGGGACACATGCAAGCCTGGGACCCTGCTGCCGGGCATCATCCTTCTTCCTGAGGCTAGACTCTGCACCCCCAGCCCCAAGCTCACACCCACTCAACAGCTCCTCACTTTCTATCTCCGTCAGGCTCCGCTGGGCCTTCTCTGTGTCTTCTCGCTTCTTCTTGAGCTCGTCCAGCTCAGCCCGGAGGAACTCACTGTCGTCGGCTGCCTGCTGCCTCAGGTGCTGCTGCTCGGCCAGCTCGGCTTCCAGCTCGCTGACCCGGCCCTTCAGCTGCAGCGTGGCCCGCTGGCTCTGTGGGAGGCATTTAGTTAATGAGTCTGATGGCCACACAGCCATTGTTGGGTGTGCTGGGTGGCAGAGGCAGGTCCGACCATGTTTCCAGCAGCCACGAAATAAGCCAGTATTTCCTGACAAGTTCCCTCCCAAGAACTCATGAGAGCTGAGCCTTCTGGTCATTATAAGCCAGCCAACCAGCAACAAGAGGGGATGAACTCTCTGGTTGCTACAGGCCACTATCTAGCAATGAGAGGGCATGGCAGCAGGGGCACATTGGTCCCTTTAGAATGGCCTGAGAGCTGGATGAGTTGGAGGGAGGAAGGGGAGGATGTCTGCCTGTCCCAGTAAGTAAGGCCTCTGACCAGCCACGGGGCTGTGCGGCAGGCGCGGTCAACAGCCATCAGTTACAAATCAAACCTTCCTACCGCCACGTGAGAAGGGCAGGTCTTTCCCACCACAGCCTTCTAGCCGCTGGTGATCACAGGGACTCCATACCCTCTGGGACACTGGAGCCAGGCTCACATGTCACTCTGGAGGCAAGTGCGATGGAAATGCATTACAGCCAAGAGCATGTGAGGACCAGATCCTCTCAGCTTTGGCATTTCTACTTATTCACCCGCCTCAAGATGTGGTCCAAAAAGTATCAACGTGAGCAAATGTGGCATTAAAATCTGTACGTTATGGTGAAGCCAGGAAGACGATCGGAGCCCGGCTCGTACCTCAGTCTTCAAGTTTTCCAGCTGCACTTTCAGCCCATTGATTTCTCTGTACAGCTGATCAATTAAATGATCCCTGGGAAAAGAAGGACAAGTTTGCTTCCACTGTGCTTCTATCCTTGCCTTTTAAATGTGAGCTAGGAGATTAGGGCAGGAAGTTAAAAGCTGGTGTTAATTTGGGGACAGTTCTTTGAAACGGCACAGATTATCCTCTAAGACCCTCAGTTATCACCAGACATCAACCTAACACCCAAGGGAGGTTATTTCAGCCTCATCTGATCCCCTTCCAGGATTAAGGAGTCCAATAGGTGTGGGTCAAGACATTGATCTAAGCTCAAATAGTGTTAAGAATCCCTCTTTGGTTAAGTGTGCTGAGTCAGGTCACGGCTTAACTGAGCTGCTGCACCACCTGTTTTCCCCCAGCTGGGACTCACTTGTCATCCTTGCTCACACCATTCTGACTGTTGAAATTGAAGGGGTCACTGCTGAATGAGCTGCCAAAGATGTCATCAAACTTGTGGTCGAATAAATTCTGCAGTGACCAGAAAGGATTGAGAACAAAGTCAGAGATCCAGAGAGTTCTGTGTGGGCGTCGAATCAGTGACATGTGAAAATGGACCTTTTCTTCATTTGGTTCAGATCCACTTATGGCCCTTCCTAGGGACAAAAGGGCTGGGTGCTGGGTCTAGGCTTGTGCCTGGGTTAGAAGGCAGCTGAACCTGGTTAGGACTTGGCCAGGGCTCTGTGCTCCCCTGCACTTGGGGACAACAGGAAGGGCCAAGCTTCTCTCCCATGTGGCCCTCACCTGCTGGGAGGCATCCATGTCCATGAGGTCATCCTTCTCCAAGACTGGCTCGTTGTCAGGGGATGAGGCCTCGGCTGGGATAACCACCACAGGGCTGATGTGTTCAGACAGGGCGGACGCTCGCAGGAAGTTGGGTGGGTTCTGAAGAGAGAGAGGATGTATCCTCAAATTGTGCCACCCAGCAGGCCTGCCAGCCTCTACAAGAGCACCTTGGATGTCCGCTCCCAGGGTGTGGGCACGCTTACCTCAGGCAGCTGAGGGATCTGAATTAGCCGCTTGAAGTACTGTAGGTTGCTGGAGCGGTAGAACAGATCCTTCAGCCTAGGGTGGAGAAGGGCTTGTGGGTGCTGGGTGTCTCACCAGCCCTGGGCAGGGAACAGGGCGACCACCCAGCTTTCCTCCTGCCTGCCCAGCCCAGAGGCCCGGCCTGTCAAGGAGACAGACTCTGTGGCACTGGGATTCAATTATGATGCCACAGGGGAAGATTACTGATAGCCAGTGCTCACTTATCTAGTGGTGAGGAAAGAGTGATTCAAGCTGCAGAATCCTTCAGAAGAGCAGGTGATCCAGGGATGTCTGCCTCATAGTACAATACCTGCTGTTGTCTGTCAGATCAATTTCTTGAGTGACATGAAAACAAATCGACCTCCTCAGGGGATCAACTAACTTACCAGAGGACAAGGGAAGGGAACTTAATTACTAATGTAGACCTCCTAAGTGACTGACCTTGTCTTAGAGCTATCTGTTATCTCCCCAGTTAGACTAGAAGTTTCTGGAAGGGAGAGACTGGACCTTGTGAAGAGCTTTCACCACAGCACCAGGCACAGAAGAATCGCTCAACAAGTATTTGTTGGAAAAAAACAATCTATTTAAAGTGTGTCCTCAACTATTTATACTGTGTCCCTAATTCATCTTGGATAAATACGGGAAGGAAGAAATCAAATTTTTTCCCCATTCTCAAGTCTCCATTTTGACGGTAAATATGAAAGGCCTACAAAGTGGTGAACACCAGCTGCATTCTCTGAAATGAAAGCGCACCAGACCTCTGCACCGTGCCACACAGTGTTTCCTCCAGCTCAGCTAATACACTAAACCGCCGGGGTCTTGGGACAGCCCTTCAGACTCCGAGGTTAGCACTGTCTCTATGACATGGCTGCTTTCTCCAAAGTCGAGGACACCAAGGCTTCAGAGAGCCGCTGTGTCTGTGAGGAAGAGAAAGTGAGGCGGCTGCCCTGGGGAGATGTTTTCATAAGTTAGAAGAAGTTAAAGGAAATAAAATCACCTGACCGCAAGACTGTCTCTGTGGGCTGGAGCCAACAGTTATAGGCTCTACGGCTTTCATAAGCTACTGGAACTTACCATTCCAGGAAATCAGCCCCCAGGCCTGTCTCCTAGGATTTAATAAGTTATTTATTACAGAATAAACATATGGAGCTTTTCAAATGGAACAAGAGAACCAGGGGATTAGCATGGCCCGGAACTTGTCCTCTGACTGCTGCTCTGGAACCAGCAAGAGGCCTAAGCTTGGGATTGGGACCTACGCTCTCGCTGTTGTCACAGTTGAAGAACTCAGTGGGAAAAACACAAGGCCAAAACAGATGGGGCTAAGCCATGCCGCCCTCCACTTCTCTCTCTCATTCCCTCCCTCTTCTCGGGCTCATGCAATTGAAAGACGAGCTGTACTTCTCATCTTGTCGCCAATTTTCTTTACCAAATGCACCAGAATAATTTACCCCTCAGTCAGACAGCTCCCACTTCCAGAGTAGACAGCTGGCCTATTAGCTCATCAATTCATTGAAATATTTGTTGAGCACTGTATGCTTTATCAATTGCTATGTATCAGGAATATAATAATGGGACTGTATCAGGGTCAAACAGAAATAAAGTTGTGCTAAGAACTTAGGAAGAAAAAAACAGGATCCTGTGATGGAGCATATGTGGGCAGGTGGGGTTGGGTTGGGGGAACCGATTTAAATAAGGTGGCCGGAGCCTGCCTTTGTGAGGTGACTGAAAATGACCTGGAGGGGGCCGAGCCAGGAGCAGAGTACCCCAAGAACAGGGAACAGCAAGGGCTGAGAACCTGTTAGAGAGACGCAATGGCTATGTTCCAGGTATGGAGGAAACCCCGTGGGGCTTAAACATAAGGTCACAGATGGCAGGCAGAAGCCAGACATTCAGGGCCTTGTAGACAATGGAGAAGAGCTTGGACTTTATTCTCAGTGTAATCAGAAGCCAGCGAAAGGCTCTGAGCCAAGGATTTATGTTTTTACAAGGTGGTTCTAACTGCAGGTGAGGACAGAACTGCAGGGGGGCCAAGAGTGGAAGTCCAAGGTGACCTGTCAATGTGGCAGGGTCCCGGCAGACAGCGATGGCAGCTGGAGATGAGATACCGGCAGGGCCCTGATGTATCTGTAGAGTATCAACAATCTGCTGATGGGTTGGACATGGCTGGGATGAGGAGAACGGCGAGTTCAGATTTCTGGCCTACGTGTTTGGTGGCAGTATTTATTGAGACAGAAAAGACTGGGGAGGAAATAGTTTTTGGAGGAAACTTTAAAGGGTTCAGTCTAAGATTTAAGTTTGAGGTCTGGTACAGAGATGTCAGTTACACAATAGGGCGTGCAAGGTTGGATTCAGAGGGAAGGTTCGGCTAGAGATACAGATTTGGGGGTTGATTTCCACATACCTGGTGTAAGACTATGAGAACTTAGGGAGAAGAAAGAAGAGGATGCAGCCCTGGGGTAAAGCAGGTGAAGAATGAATGAAGTCACCTTGTCCTATGCATTTCTATGGGTTTTGTCAGAGCACCGAAAGCTTCCCCAGCCACTGGGAGGTTCGCTGCTGTCCTGGTTGTTTTTTTTCACTTTGTTGCTGTAAGATGCAGACACCTTCATTCCTCAGTTATTTCAAAGCAACTGCTCTTAGATGGGTTAACTGATCTTACAGCACTTTTTGATTTGCTTTTATTTCCATCATGTAAGCCACTTACTTTGTGAACTGCTCCATGAAGCGGTCCCTATGGCCTTGCAGGGTGTCGGCTGGGAGACCTGGAAGGAGTTGGAAAGGTGTGAGAGAAGAGAACCAGAGGGCAGGTGAGCTATAGCAGGGCTTCAGAGGGAGGGCGCCATCCGTCCTGCCAGGGCATTCCTGCTTGAGCTGCCCCAGAACTGGTAAGCAAGGTACCCCCCAACCACAACAGGACCCACAGGGGGTCTGGGAATGCACCTCTTTATCATGTTTGTTCCTGGAGTGTGAGCCATTCTGGGCACAGAGGGCTGGAGTATGTGTCCCTGCCCACGACAGTGACCTGACCGAGCAGCAGGGTGGAGTTGGGGTTCTCCCCAGAGGGGTGCACACTGGGCAAGGCGCCACACCACACGTGCCTGAGAGGATGCCCATAGGGAGGCACAGCGTGCAGGGCCAGGACGCGGTTGCCCGAACTCTGACTCTTGGCGGGCCACTGTCGCCTCCCCTACAGAGCTGGGGCTTGGAGGTCTTTTCACCTCTTGGGTTGTGTGATTCTGTGTATTTCAACTACAGATCACAACTCAGTGATCCTTTCCTTTTTTGTCTTATTTTTAAAATTTAGATTCTAGTAATTTTTGAATAGGTGAGACATTTATTTGGTGTAAATAGGAAGTACATGATAATTCAAAATGGCAAAAGTGTGTAGCAGATGATAGAACCCTTAACCCTAGTCCAGTAATGAGAAAAACATCAGACAGACTCAAATGAAGGGACATCCCAGAACGATCTGACCAGGTCTCCTCAAAATGACCATGGTCATCAAAAACAAGGCAAGTCTGAGAAAACTGCCATGGCCACGGCGAAGAGGCGGCTCAAGGAAGGGTTACAGCTACCGTGACATGGCACCTGGATGGGGTCCCAGGACAGTGATGAAAGGACATCGGGCTGGAGCTGTGGACATCTGGATGAAGTATGGACTTCCGTCAATAATAATAACATCAATATAGGTCTATTAGTTGTGACAAATATATCATATTAACTTAAGATACTAGAAATAAAGGAAACTGGGTTTAGGATATATGGGAACTGTGTGAACTATCTTTGCCAATTTTCTGTACGTCTGAAACTACTCTAAGACAAAACATGTAGTTTTGGAGAAGTATGTATGGAATGGAGTGTCCCTCCCACACTTTCCGGGCCACACAGCTCTCCTGCCCAGAGGCAGTCTGGGAGGGTCTTGTGTATTGCTCTGCCATTAAAGCCAAATGCTTAGTTACCTGTCTCTCGTCACAAGGGCTCCCGGTTCATAAGGAGGAAGCAGGGATGTTCTAGTGGCTACTGGGTTCCATAGCACCGCAGAAACAATTAAAAGCACCTCTGTATTCAGAGCTTCCAGCACCACCTTCCCTCCTCTCTTGGATTTTATAGTCCCTGGCTCTGCTTCCTGCAGGCATGCCCACTGCTCCAAAGCCCTTCTAACCCCTGACCACCCAATTCCATCTTCCCTCCCGCAAAATGCTCCAGGTCAGAGTGCTGCTTCCCTTGTCATGTGTGTGACCAGCCCCGCTTCTTGTCAGTGTCTTTGGGTATCCCCACCCTAGACTTTACAAGTGTGACCTTGTCCTTTCTGGGGCCGTAAAACCTTGCTATTATCCACTCGTGTCTCGATTTTTCATTCTCCATCATCCCATACTCTGCATGCACATATCCTTCATGGTAGCCACCTCTGGGTGTGGCCCAGGGACCACCCACACAGACTCATCTGGGATATGGTTTCATACTGCAGACCCTGTACTACCAGACCGACTAACATAGAACCTGAAGGAACAGGACTCACACTTGCGTCCAGCAAGCAGCACACAGAAGCATAAGAACTTTTACAAGACCAGTAATTTATAACATATAATCTGAAAGTATCCCAGGGTCTGTGGCTAGGTAGGCCCTCCACTTCCTAGAGCAGTTCACCTTTATATTTTCTATTTCTGTACAAAATTCTGTATGTACAAAGAAGCTGTGTTGATGAATGCTTTGGAACCCATGGCTTTGCTCCTGTGGATCTAGGCCACTTCTGTTACCAACTGTATGGTTCCTAGACCACAGGACATGTATAGACAGAGATGTGGTAAAGCCAGAGGAGGAGGGAGGGCCAAGATGGACCCCACCATGGCGAGCCAGGTGCTTCCCTGGCACATCAAAACTTCCACCCTGCCCTGCTCTTCTTGAGCTGCTTTCTCCAGGGACAGACCAGGCTGGGCTCCCCTTTCTGGCCTGAAGCTCACAGAGAGACCCCAGCCTGGTGTACTCACAGGAGTGGAGTTTGAAGAGAAGCTTGACAGTGTAATCATAGAGGTGGCTGCAGTCCAGTATGACCTGGATCAACGGGGCAAGGCGGCACTGCCCGGCTGTTGTCACTGACACGGAGCGGGACATGTCCAGGGAGTTGAACACTAGGGAAAAAAGGGAAGAGGCAGTTGAGCTGGGAAATTATAGGTGACCTTCTCAGGAAGCAGGCGGCAGGGGTCTGACATACACGGGAACCTGTCCTACGCACACACTAGAGTGTTTAACCCTCACGGCACCTCTGTGGGACAGGGACAAGTGCACTGGCTATACAACGGAAGAAAGAGAAGTCAGTGACTAGAAGGTGGTTTTGCTGAGAGGTGGTGAGTTAAAAGACAGAGCGTGCATGACCAGCAATGGCTGGAACAGGAGTGCCCTGTATGTCTTGAACAGGTGAACTCACCGCCTCTATGCCCACAGCCCGGTGGAAGCCTGGGAATGGGATTTACTCAAGTGGGTTAAGCGCCTGGAATGCTGCCCTTCTGTCTTTGAGGGGCCTCATGGTTCCTGCCCCCCGGTCTGAGCAGAAAGACAGAATACACTCTTTCAGAGTTTCTGATTTCATGGCGAGATGTGCTCTTGTTCAGGGGAAGCCTTCAGTTGTATGAACAAGAATTTTAGAATGGGAAGGGGCTCTCAAGATATCCAAACTAGTCCTTCCTCTCACGCACGAATGTGGTTCGATGGTGACCTTGACCTGGAGAGGCACCCAAATCAAGGGTGCAACAGTTAACAAGTGGGAAAGCCAAACATCTATCAGGACACGAAGAAGGGAACAATGCAGCCTTGGCTTCCTGGTGGCCTGACACAGGGTTCTTGGGACACAAAGCAGGGAGGTGCAGGAGCCATAAGTGGACAATTGGAAAGCCTGTGGGGGCCAGGCAGGGCTCTGGGATCACGATGAACCACCTGGGCCAAAGGCTGGAGGTCCTGGGCAAGCAGGTCAACAGAAAAACCCGCCTCCCTCCTGAGCTCCAGAGCAAGCAGCTCCCTCAGTGTCATGCCCCAGGGACCTCTCCACATTACCCTCCACCTCCTGCCTCTTGCTCCAAAACCAAGCGACTAGATGCCTGAGCGTGGACCCTCAGTACACACCACTGGTCAGCGCCGGTTTCCACCGTGGCAGCTGCCCTGGCCTCTGGGGACTCTGCATGTGGCTGGCAAGGGAAGCCTTGCCCTGCATCCCTCAGGCAGCGGGGCTGCCCCAGGGGAAAGCCCAGAGCTGCTGTGCTTGGGACTAATCCCTGTTAACCAGCTTAGTCTGGCAGTTGAAAAAAAATCCTGAACGGTTCTAATTAAATGGCAGCTTTTCTTCTTGACACAAATTAAAAGCAGCTGTCACTGCAAGGCAGCCATCCCCAAGTCTACTGGCTTCCTTAGGCTCCACTCTGGCAAGGAATCACAGACTGCTTCATCTCCCAGCCTGCCTGCTGCTTTCCAGGAATGCTCCTTGGCATCCAGTAACATCTACAGCAGTGTGACTGTGGACAAGTCACTAAACCTCTCTGTGCCTCCAGATGCTTTTCTGTAAAATGCAGATGGCTCTAATAGCACATAAATCACGAGGGGCTTATAAGAATTAAATGAGAATGTCATGTAACGTACATAGCGTTGTACAGTGGTTCTCAGCTTTGACTGTGGGATTAATTAGAATCGTCTGGGGAAATTTAGGAACTACTACTGTTTGCCTGCAGACCCCCATGCCCCCACCCCTCATTCTGTCTTAGCTGGCTGGGGTAGGGTTGGGGCATCAGGTTTCAAAAGCCCCCCAGATGTTTCTAATCACCTGCTTAAAAACTGTATTTCCTAGCTCAGTGATTCTCAAATTTTTGCATGTGTCAGAATCCCCGGTAGCACTGCCCAACAGAATTCTGTGATGGTGGAAGTGTTCTGTACTGGTCACCCAGTGCTGGCCACACACGGCCCAAGTACCTGAAATATGGCTAGTGTCACTGAGGACGTGACTTTTTAATATTGTTTAATTGTCATTAAATGGTCACCCAAGGCTACTGGCTATCCTAATTGACAGTGAAGACCTGGGGGTGTTGGTGACATGGACTGCTGGGGCCCACCCTCAGTGATCCTGATTCAGCAGGTCTGGGGTGGGACCTGAGAATCCTCATTTCTAACAAGTTCTCAGGTGGTGCTGATGCTGATGGTCCAGGGACCTCACTCTGAGAACCACTACAAGTGCTCAAATCAATGTTAATAAAACCTGCCCATGTCTCCCCCACCCCTGCCCCCCTGAATACTAGTTGTATTTCAGGTACTTGAGCTGCAGGTGGCTAGCCCTGGGCGACCAGTACAGAACACCTCCACCATCACAGAATTCTGTTGGACAGTGCTCCTGGGGATTCTGACACATGCAAAAATTTGAGAATCACTGAAAATCAGTGGAACTCTTCTAAGGGTACCAGATGGAACCTTGCAGGGTCCCAGACTGGAACTCAGAAGCTGGAGAGACTTTCCAACACCAGCTCTCTTGATTTTTATACACAGTAGGTGACTGGGACAGGGAGGGGAGCAGGCGAGACATGGAGTAAAGGGCTCTTGGTCCCAAACTGATGCCTGCTTGGGGGCAAGAAAGCCACCACCATTTAACCATGGAGAGGCTGTGCAAAGACTTGGGGTAGCCTTCTTCTAGAAAACTCTAAGTAGCTGACTCACCCCAGATAATCCCATGGCATTCAGCTGGATGTTGGCACCACTTTATGAATTCTGTGCACCATTGTTTCTTCACTGCTACTTATCTAAAGCAAAAGCACTCTTGAATTTGTTTGTTGAGAATTTGCTATATATTCCAGGCACTGGGCAAGAACAGAGGGAATTCAAAGATGAGTAGGGCCTGGTTTCTGATTTTGAGGAGGAAATCGGCATATGGTAATAGAAACCACTCAAGTCTTCTGTGCATCTAAAAGCACCAGGTGTCCATGGGGTGTGAACTGACCGACCGGGGTGGGGGGTCTGCGAGCATCACATACCCACTATCCCAGCCTCCTCAGGTCCTGCTGAGGGTGAGCACTGTCTCTGCTAACTCTTACTAGCACAGTCTGTCCGGGCTGTAAGTCTCAGCCGTGGAGGCTGAATCATCTGGCTTGTATCCCCCCAGCCCCCTGTAGCGGTGGCTGACAGGCTCCCAGAAAGAGGTCACAGCTGCCCGAGAGGGCCTGGGCCGGCGCAGCGGCAACTTGGGTGGGACGCTCCCAAGCATGACGTTCCTAGGATGGCAGTATCGCTTATACCTCATTCCACTTAAGCACATTCCAAAGCCGAATGTCACTGAATTCTGAATTCTCCACATGGGCCCCACCCACTCAAAGCGAAATAACTGAAAGCCACACAATGTGTAATTGTGCCTATACTTTCATGCCAACTTTTCGAAGGCATTAAAAAAAAATTCATCCACCCATTTCTTCTACCAGGCGGGGAATGCCTTAGGGCAGGGACTGTATTTTGTGGATCAGTTTTACTTCTCTCCTGGTTATTGTATGAGACCCAGCTCAAACAGGTCGCTAGTGGGCTGAGTACCTTCTTATTTTTCCTACAAACCGGTTTCCAGCTGTGGTGTTTCTGTGACCACATCCTGCACCAAACGGATCGGTCACAGTATGAAGGAATCTGCCACCCTTTCACAGGCCTGGCAAAGCGCTGAAATGTTACAGGCCAGTTGCTGGTACTTGTTGCACAGATGAACATGCCAAAGGAAGCCATAATTTAGGGGGAGTATGTGTTTTCAGGAGAGGATCCAAGCCCACACGCAGGCCTCATGGTCGTCAAGCTTGAACATGGATACTTGTCTCTTGGAATTCCCTTTTTCACCGAAATGGACACTTGTCATGGAACATCTCAAATCTCAGAAAACTGGCTTTTCTGTTCCCCAGGGAAAAAGGTGGGGGCCATGCAGGGAGGGGTAGGGAAGACAGGCCTGGAGAGAAGTGAACTGGCTGCTTCCCTCCTGAGTCTTATCAGAAGTGTTAGAAGATGGCCTGGGGGGCGCCAGAACTCTCAGCTGATGGGAGGAGCCCAAAGTGTAGCCAACCCCCTGCTAGAGGCTCAGGACTTTGTGGGCTTCTCTTGTGGGCTCGGGTAACAACCCCAACTTGACCAACCAGCAGACAGCAGCCCCCCTGAGCAGAAAGCACCCTGAGTGGCAGCCCAGCACTGGGGCCACAGCCTGAAGGCTGTCAGAGGCGGGATGTGTCTTTGGGATATTGGAGGCCTGGGCTTCAGCCCCTCCTTGCATGAGGGATGGAGAGAACAGAGACAGGAGGTAGATATCTCCATTTTCTTGGCCCTGTGCTGCACATGGAGGGAGGGGCTGGGCCTGCTGATCCAAGCAGGGAACAAGGCTGGGAATCAGGAAATTCCCATGCAACCCTGGCCCAGATGAGAGGGAGACTCACCAGTTTGGAAGAGGTTAAGTTCACACTCTAGGTAGTCGAACATCTCCACTGTTAACTGGAAACTGGGCACAAGAGAAAAGACAGCTTATACTTGACAGCCTGAGGCCAGTGCTCCACCTGCCTCAAACTGTGCTGCTTTTTGCCCTAAATGCACATGTGCATGCATGCACACATGAAGATGTGCACACGCTCACACACTCACTCACATTGGAGCGTCCAGCTCCAATTTTTAGCATCCACCTAAGTGGGTATTGAGGCCATTTGAAGATTAAGCAAGGCGAATTCAACAGGACAGAGGGCAGGTGCCACGCTGGGCTAGGAGGGCAGCGGGGAGCAGAGAAGAGAACCCCGGAGTGTGACACAGCTTGGAAGGGTTCTAGGGGAGAGGCACCAGCAGTAAGTGGTCCTGAGGCTAAGTCACCCAGGGACTTTAGCCCCCACCCCTGCCCCTGCCACCAGGTCCTCTGGGACCCTAACCAGAAGTGATGGCATCTACAAATGCTTTTGTTCCCACCGTGTCCATGCATGAGGACAGCCACTTACAAGTTGTTAACATCACTCTCTCCAGCATCATCTAGCTGCCGGTCACTCATCTGGAGGTTGCTTGGGAACCTGGGATTCTGGAAGGAAGGCAGAGGCAGGACATCACAACAGGCACCTCACGGGAGCTCTCTATGCAGCCTAATTAAACAAGCACCAAGCAAGCCATCTATACACTGAGCCTGGGAAGCTGCAGGCTGAATTCTGCTGTGTGGATGCCTGTGCTCTTCCCAGGGAGATGTCCATGCACACACCCTCACACACAGACGCCTTGATTGGTTCACAGCAAAGAACATCCACTACCCATCACCAGAGGTCAAGGCTCCATACCACCCCTGGGACCCGGGAGAGGGCTCCTCCCTGACCATGTGTGTGTGCACTGGGACACTTCTAAAGACTATCTCTGGTGGTGGGACAAGACCCAGTGAGTGGGCAGTGGGCCCTCAACCCCTCCGCCAGACGCAGGAAGTACCCCATCTGGGCATCCTCAGTGTGTTCAGAATCCTGCCCAGGCTTGCTGCTACCCTCAGGCCATCCACCAAAGCTGTGCTGTGAGTTCAGGGAAGGCAAAACCCATTCTCAAATTAGTTTGAGCAAAACGTAATTAGTAAAATAAACTTGAAGATAGGAAAACACATTACATTACACATCCCCAAAGTCATGAGAAATTATTTTGTGTTGTCAATCACTGTTGAGAATCTGTTCCATCTTTTCCTTAGTGTGGCTTGCCTGGAGCGGATGGAACATGTGGCCAAGGTAGAGGTGGAGGGGGCAGAGAGGTGGGCAGCCAATCCATCAGGAGGGCTCTAAATCCCAGGGTGAATTCTTTACACTCTGAAGACAGAAATCCTCCACTCCATGGCTGTAACGCTGGCCCTCTGCCCTGGCAACCCTCTCCTGCCCACAGGCCACCCCCTCCTGCGAGTCTCATAGCCTGCCAGGTCCTGCACAGCCCCCTGCTAGCCGTGCTGACTTCCCCATTCAGTCGGGGCACTGGGAACCTGGCCCCCTTCTCCCATGCCCTTGCCTTTCTTGTTGCCTTGTTTCCCACCTGCTGCAGTTAATCGTGGTGAGCTGGATCTTTGTCACATTCTTGGTGCCCAGAACCAGCTGCCAATGTCCCTGGAGAAGGACTTACAACTGGCATCACCATTAAATCATGCTTTCCAGTGATAGCACCCTTAACTGTCCTTGCTTGAATGGGTTCCCCTTTCCAGTTACCGGTCCCTCTCGAACCTGGTGACGGCTCCCAGGTTGGCACCCTCAGCTCGTGCCTGCCTTCCTACCTCCTTGGCAACTCCCTCGGCAGCCGGCTTCCCGCTCCCTTCCACGCTTGAAACGTACCCAGCTGTCCTCCAGTTTCACAGGAGGAAGGGCTGGCCTCTTTCCTGACTCAGGACGAGCCCCTCCACGCGTGCTACTCAAACCATATCTAGTCTGGTTTATTCTGGCTCTCATCCAAAAAATCTTGATTGAGCACCTGTTCTGGGCTAGATGTGGGCAACACACTGGGCACAAGAAGACGCATACCTGTCCTTTCAGAGCCCACAGCCCAGAGCGCCAGTGGCCCCACTCTGCCTCCCTCTCCTGCCCCTTCCTGGCGCCATGTCTTTCCCATGGGCTCCACCTCTTCCTTCAGCTATCATCCGCCCCTCTTTCTCCTCCCTCTCCTCCTAGGCTTCAGGAAGTCCCACCCCTTCTCTGTCCCAGGGACAACTGTCCTGATTCTGCCTCCCACAGGCTTCTACACTGACAGCCTGGCTCTCCTAAAGTCCACACATCCTACTGTGACCAGGATGGCCTCATGCACCCCTGTGTTCTGTGACAGGGATGGCCTCATGCACCCCCGTGTTCTGTGACTGGGACAGCCTCATAGACCCACCGTGTTCCGTGACCGGGATGGCCTCATGCACCCCCACCCTGTGACCAGGATGGCCTCATGAACCCCCATGTTCTGTGACCGGACAGCCTCATGCACCCCCACCCTGTGACCAGGATGGCCTCATGAACCCCCATGTTCTGTGACTGGGACAGCCTCATGCACCCCCATGTTCTGTGACCGGGAGAGCCTCATGCACCCCTGTGTTCTGTGATGGGTACAGCCTCCCGCACCCCAACCCTGTAACCAGGACGGCCTCATGCACTCCCGTGTTCTGTGACGGGGACAGCCTCACGTACCTGCCCAGTTGCCTGCCGCCCTCCACCCTGCCTGCTCCTCACACTAACATAGATCTATGGCTAGTTCCACATGAATGCCAAATTATCCTGGGCCTCAAGCCCTATGTCTCCAGCTGACCCTCTCCTGTAATGCCTATCATCTGCCCTACTCCATCCCCTGGACCCACCATGCGGCACACTGGGGCCTTAGGGGGTGAGTGTACGTGCAGGAGGGAGGGCTGTGAATTGTGGGGCAGACGGTATTTCCGAGCAGCATATTCCACTGAATACACTCTCTTCACAACATGCCTTGGACGCTCCAACTTGAGTGGTGTGGTTTCTGGGCCTCCCTTTCAATCGTGGGACCTCTGTGACCACCCCAGCCCGTACGGGGCAGTGGAGGGCGTGCTGTGACCTCTGAGGCTCGTCACATAAATGTAGGCACTCGTACTTCATTCTCTTGGATGCTTGCCAGGCTGCGGGGAAGCCCTGACTGGTGCCAAGACCTCATGAAGAAGAATGCCCACGCCTGGGTCTGGGCCGGATGCCCCATTACGTGCTTTTGTGCTGCCTTCTGCTTCCCCCAAGCCTCGTCCTCACTGTGCACGTCTCTCTTCTGTCTCCCAAACAAACTGACTCTCGAAGGCAGGGGCAAAGGCTACGCACGTTTCTCTCTTCAGAACCCAAGTTCAGGCCCGTAGCAGGCACTTAATGACAACGAGGGACACAGGGAGGGCCAGGGCTCAGCACAGGTGCTAGTGTCCCAGGGGCCTGGGTCCAGTCCCCACCTCGCCACCACCGTGCATGTGACTCAAGCAAGGGACAGAGGCCCTCTCCAAGTTTCATTTTCTTAGGATATAGTAATACCTACTTTACTGGGCTGTTGTGAGGATTGAATGTACAGAAAAGGTTTAACAGACTAGGATGCTTTCAGTGAACTGAAGCTACTCTCAAGTATGTAAAAGACAATAGAGATGAAAGACACTAAAATCTGTTATTTCTCTTACTCTCCTCCCTCCTCCACTTCCACTGCCAGCTCCTCAGTTCAGGCTCTTCCTCCCCACCAGCATGCCATGCCTCCTGACCACCTGTCGCACCACACCCTCCCTCACAGTCTCCCTCAAGCCCGCTTCTTTCATAATCCCCCTTTGGACCCATAAGCCTCCATCATTTCAGAATGTCTCTGGCACACATAACAGCTTTGCACTATTACACGGCTACTGCAAGTATGCAGGCCTTCTCTCCCCAGTGAATCTGTAGACTCTTCAGAGCAGACCCTTTTTACTCATTCTTTTTATTTTTACTTATTATTATTTTATTTTTATTTTTATTTATTTTGGTATCATTAATCTACAATTTCATGAGGAACATTATGTTTACTAGACACCCCCCATTACCAAGTCCCCCCCATATACCCCATTACAGTTTCTGTCCATTAGCGTAGTAAGATGCTATAGAGTCACTACTTGTCTTCTCCGTGTTGTACAGCCCTTTCCGTGCCGCCACCCAACCTTTTTTACTCATTCTTATATGCCCCTTGGTACCCAGAACACAGTTTTACTTGCATGAGGTACATAAGAAATACTGACTAAAGCCATATGTTGATTAGAAGGTTCTGTGTGGAAACTCGTTATACAAATGGAAGGAATCGTTCTTACTAAGAGTGAAGTCAGTGCTTCTGAAATATTTTCATAAGGTACCTAGTAAGGTTCCTCTATTTGCAAAACGGGGAAGAGAAGGATTGTACGATGTGGGCTAAGATCCTGGTCCCCATGTCACCTCCCAGGAGCCTGGGTGTGGCTGTCCTGTGACACGTTTTCCTCTCACAGCTGGGATACGGTACGAACACCGCCCATGGGGCCCAGCGGCCTCATTCCTGGAAAGGCCTGACAATTGGGCCCACGGAGGAGCTGAGGGGCTCCTGGGGCAGCCGAGTCGCTGGTGAAGACTCACTTTGGTGTGGTATTCCATCTTTGTCCTCAGAAGCTTGAGGTAGATGCTACACAGCTGTCCATATCCCTCACTCAGGTGGCCCTTTCAAGAAGAAGAAAGGAAGCAGGTGTCAGCAGGCAGAATATTTGGGCTCAGAGGCCTCCAGCCAGGATTTCTCTTTCAAAGAATGTATTTTTTTCTGATTATGAATATGAAAACTTGTTAAATATAGAAAAGGACATACACAAACACATCACCCTTAATCTAAACACCAGGAGTAATCATGGCTAACATTTTGGGGTGCAAAAGTTATTTTATTTTTTTCAATTTAAACAGACTTTATTTTTTTGAGTTGTTTTTAGGTTCACAGCGAAACTGAACAGATATACAGAAATTTCCTCTATGCCCCTGCCCGTATACCTACACACAGCCTCCCCTATACTAGAATGGAATATGGTTACAGCTGATGAACCTACTTTGACACATCATTATTACCCCCAAGTAAACTGAATATTTGGGTTCACTCTTGGTGTTGTACATTCTATGGGTTTGACAAATGTATAATGACGCATATCTACCACAACAGTATCGTGCAGAGTAGTTTCACTGGCCTAAAATCCTCTGTGCTTCACCTTTATCTTAAACTATAAAATGGAATCTTTACTCTTTTACTTAATATACTAGTTTTTTCTATCTTCTTAAATTTCTTCTGTATCATTATTTTTAATGACTGCCCAGTACATTGTGTAGATACTGTAATTCACCAACCTGACTTCTCTACTGTTGTGTTAGCTGTAGGCAAGTGTTTGTATTATAAACTATTTCTCAATGGACATTCTTATAGTATAATCTTGTGTACAATAAGAACTTCCTTTGGGTAAATTCTGGACAGAGCTTCTTATTTAAGAATTTTACGTCTCTCACCCTAGGCTATTTCTTTCCTTCTGTCTCTCTAAGAACAGGAGGGCAAACACTTCCTCCAAATGGACTAAACCAGACTAAAAGCATGTATAGAATTCTATATGCGATGGGGTCTGAAATGGGACCAATCCTAGATGGTGAAGAAGCCTTCCCCTGGGGTCCACCCATGCAGCCGTCATATCCTGGGTGCCTGGGAGGAAGCCAGGATTCAGCAGTGATGCTCACAACATCCAGTTATGTGCAACCCAGGAGGGAAATGGGGCACAAAGAACTCTTATGCTGAAGAGTCATGGTTCCCACCTGCATTCTGATTTTGTGGTTTTCTTTTAAGTACCTCTATATCCTCTAGAGGAAAGGAACCCCATTGGAAAATGTCTCCAAAAGCACCAGAGGGAATTAGGTAATCAGAGGAGTTGAAAAATAGCAATGCTAGAGATGACAGTATTTCACAATATATTTATTTTCTATGAAAAATCCTCTTTATTTTTACATTATACTTGTACATTATATTAAAATTAGAAAGTAGTGAAAAGTAGAAAAAGCAAAAATATGATCATCAAACACAACTATAATTCATGTGAAAGTGCACAAGGATCAAAAAGCACAAGATGAATGGATCACAGACCTAAATGTGAAACATAAAGCTATAAAACTCCTAGAAAACAACATAGGAGAAAACCTAGGTAACCTTAGGAATGGAGATGACTTTTTAGATACAACACCAGAGGCACGATCCATGAAAGAAATAATCAATAAGCCAGACTTCACTGAAAAACTTCTGCTCTGCAGAAGTCAATGTCAAGAGAATGAGAAGATAAGCCGCGGGTGGGAGAAAATATCTGTGGACACTTCTGATAAAGGACTGTTTTCCAAAACATACAAAGTACTCTTAAAACTCAACAGTAAGAAAACAACCTGATTAGAAAACAAGCCAAAGACCTTAACAGATGCCTCATCAAAGAAGATATACAAAGAAGAGGGCAAATAAGCACATGAAAAGATGTGCTGCACCATACGTCACCAGGGAAAGGCAAATTAAAACAATGAGATATCACTAAACACCTATTAAAATGAACAAAATCCAGAACACTGACAGCAACAAACGCTGGTGAGGATGTGGAGCAATAGGAACTCTCATTCACTGTTAGAGGGAATTAAAACTGGTACAGCCACATTGGAAGACAGTTTGCTAGTTTCCTACAAAACTAAGTATGTGTACACCATACAACTCAGCAAGGGCACCCCCTTTTTATACAAGGGAGTTGAAAACTTAGGTTCAAACAAAAACCTGCACACAGATATTTAAAGCTGTTTTATTCGTAATTGCCAAAACTTGAAGTAACTGAGATGTCCTTCAGTAGGTGGATGGATAAATGAACTGTGGTCCATCCAAATAATGGAATGTTATTCAGCCTAAGAGTAAATGAGCTATCAAGCCATGAAGAGGAATCTTAAATGCATATTAACAAGTGAAAGAAGTGAATGTGAAAAGGCTATATTCTGTTTGATTCCAACTATATGATACTCTGGAAAAGGGAAAGCTATGGGGACAGTAAAAAGGTCAGTGGTTGCCAGAGGTTGTACGGGTGCAGGTTTGAATACTCAGAGCACAGAGAATTTTTCAGTCAATGAAAATATTCTGTATGACACCATAAATGATAGATATGAATCACTGTAACATTTGTCCAAACCCAAAGAATACACAACCACATGAGTGAACTGTAATATAAACTATGGACTTTGGGTGATTATGATATATCAATGTAGGTTCAACTGTTAACAAATGTACTGCTCTGGTGGTGGTGGTCGGGGGTGGTGTTGGTAACAGGGGAAACTGTGCATGTGTGGAGGCCGGGAGTACATGGTAAACCTCTGTACTTTCTACTCAACTATGAAACTAAAATGGCTCTAAAAAAAAAGGTCTTCATTTTTTGAAAAAAGTAAAAAGGTTTCTAACTTCCAAAAACTTAGTCAAACAGGAGAGTTAGAACTACCTAGGAAGAAAGACCTAAAGGAATTTCATTTTGGATAACAAGTCAGGCTAGGTACCTGGGTTGACCTTCCTATTAAAAACTACACAAATATTGGTTAAAATAATTTTAGAATATTTTAATGAACTAACAAGAGAATAAGAAACAAGAGCTCCTACATATGTCCTCCCTGAGGAAATTTAAGAAAAACCTACCATTTCAGACCATTACTGTGATCCATGGGAGGGAAAACTGCTGCTGGGAATTGGACCTATGAGCCGGTCCTCAAGGGAATCTTCCCGTAATTCAGAAAAACCTTAAGCTGAGAATTTAATTGAGAGTGATCTCAATGGAAACGAATGCCAATTCTCTCAGGAGGAACCTGTCTTCATTACAGACTTCAAAGAATTTCCACAAATAAAATTCCAAGGCAAGCGAGTAGCTCACAGTAAAAAAAATAACTTAAGCACAAGAAGAAATTACACAGCATGAGCAAAACTCATCAAAAACAACAGATGGCATAAACGGATCTTTAAGGACTTTAGATAATAGGAGTATAAAAAGTGGTGTATGAAATCACTGTTTAATATATTTAAATAAGTAGAGACTACTTCAAAATATATGCAGGGCATAGTAAATTATAAATAACATCAGGGAGATTAAAAAAAAAAAGATCTTCAAGTAATGAAAACAAGACTAAAACTGAAAACCATATGAAGAGGTTTAAAAACAGATTAGACCCACCTAAACGGGGAACAAATGAAACAAAAGCTAGGCCTGCTGAAATTATCCAGAATGCAGTATGGAGACAAACAGGTAGGAAAGAAATGGAACAGCACTTTAAAGACATGGGGGACGGAGTGAGAAAGTTACATAATCAGTCTCAGAGGAAAAGACTGAATGGAGCAAAGGCAACAGTTGAAGAGAGAATTTTTCACAACTGATTATTAACCCACAAATTTAAATCCAAAGAATCCCAAATAAATTCACACCCAGACACACAGTGAGATTTTTTAAATGACCAGAGGAAGAAACAGATTAGCTTCAAAGGAACAATGGCAAGTATAACAGCTGACTTCATGAAAATGATAGAAGCCAGAAGTCAGTGGAAGGGTATCTTGAATAATATTTTTCATGGGCTGACAGAGTAACTGCCGCCCCAGAATTCTAAACCCAGAGAAAGTATTTTTCAAGAAGGAGGGTGAAGTGAAATAAAGACATTCTCAAGCAGGTAACAACGGCTGCTTGCCACCAGCAGACTCTCACTAACAGAAGTTGTAAAGGAAATAACTCAGGTAGAAAGAACATGGCTCACTGATGGAAGATCTAAGTATAAGAAGAAATGAATAGCACAGAATAGAAAAATTAAAATATCTTACAGGGTCTAAAAAGAAAAACACAAAATTAAAATACATGTCAACAATAACATACAAGCTGAGAGGGAGTAAATGGAGGTGAACTATTCAAAGTTCTTTGTGTTATACAGGAACAGATAAAGATATGAATTTGATAAGCATGCATTTTGTCCTTATTAGGTAACACACCAAAAAATAAAAAAACAAAACCAGAGTTTTTAAAAAATCTTCCAACTAGTAATGAAGGAATAATGGAATATGAAAAAAATACCCAATCAATGCAAAAGAATAAATGAGAGAGATAGGAACAGAAGGAAAAAATAGCAAAACATAAGATGTTACAGTATAAATGTAAACATCATGCATTATAATAAATGTAAATGGAGTAAATGTACAGTTAAAAGACAAAGACTGCCATCTTGAAAAACAAAAACAAAATCCAACTAAATGCTATTTATATGTGATTTTTCTAAGACATAAGAATACAGAAAATTCAAAAGTAAAAGGATAGAAAAGGACACACTGTTTTCTAACAAAAAGGAAAAAGAAACAAGTTTGCCATATTTAGGCATATACTAGAAAGCTCTAAGCATGCCTTGGGAGGTTTGGGGAACACTTTCAGCTTTGCTCTAGTTAACAAGCCTTGTGACTTAAGAAAAGCTGCTTCCCTCTCTGGGCCTCTATTTCTCAACTGTAATGGGCAGGTTGGGTTACATAATTGCTGACATTTTGTGAATGCAGACAGATACAGGTAAGAATTTGAAGGAAACAGCTAAAGTAGTAGTCCTCACCAAATGGGAACAAAGGATATCAGAATCAACCAGGGAGATCCTTCAAAATGCAGATTACCCACTGTCTACACACATACCCTTGGATATCAGAATCTAGAGGGATTTTAGTGCATATAAAATGAAAACATTCTTTTCAATTGACTCTGATAATGCCACCTATCTCCTCCCTCATCCTAAAGCATTGAAAATCCCTAGACAGGAAAGAAAAGGCAGGGGCATTAAGAATCAGGATTGCTAGTTCTTAATGTACTATGACCCCAATGGGGTCAGTGGAAACAAAGACACAGAAATTGTGACAATGTGACATAGAACCCAAAAGCCTGGAGAGTGCTGTGACATGAGGCTCCATTACAGGGAGACACTTTCAGGCCCTAGAACTTCCCTACAGCTTCCAGGGCCCTAGAGTAAGACTGTGGGTATCATGGTACTACTGGGGGTGGGGAGGATCCTTGACCCTCTGTGATGCTTGAGAGAGAAATCCTAAACAAATTCAAAGAGATAAATTCATTCCACTCCAGAAGTCCTTGTTTTGTGGGTTCCGCAGAGGCGCAGGGGGGGCCCTGGGTGCCTCTCCACTCACCCACATTCTGCTCATGTCACTCAGTTCATTCTTGAATCGCAGAGAGTCCTTCAGCACCTGGAGAGGAAAGAGATTGGCTTACAGCAAGGAGACGAGAGGACAGTGAAAATGGGTCTGGATTGGGCACAGAGGCTGAGTGGAGACAAACCAGCTGTAATCAGGGAACCAGAAGGCCATAAGGGGGCAGCTGCCACCCTCCCCCCTTGTGACCCAGGCAATCATGCTCTCCCCATGGGTCCCTGGCATCCCCCGCAGTCCCAGGAACTCACGTTTGGGTGTCCATCTCGGAGGAGTTTGTGGAACACATGGCAGAACTTCCAGCAGAGCACAGCATTGCTAGAGAGGGGCAGTCGGTTGACAACGGACCAGAAGGTCTGTGCCCCTTTCTCATGGTGGGTGCCCAGAATGCATGGTGAAGGGTGGTCATGGAAAACAAAGACATGGCCCTGCCTGAGGCAGGTAGTCCCTGGGACGAGAAGGTCACTGCTGACTGTCATGCAGGTGTTCTGAGTACAGGGGTCCTGCTCATAGCTAAGACACCACAGATCTGTACACTTATCCTAGCAATGTGGAGGCAGATGTCAATAAAGGGTATTGTTCTAATAAAATCTATTTTATTAGACAATCTCCCCAGAGATGGCAGTGTCTTTTGGGAGGGTTGCCTTTTTCTAATTTGCACAAGTGCACTCTGGGCCAGCAGGGGTCCTGGTTTGCCTTTAACAGGAAGATGCTCTGGCTGGAATTAGGGTTTTGCTGAGGCAGAGAGGTTCTGCCCTTCCTCTGGGTATGCCGGGTTTGTGCTGGGCCTCTGGGGGAGTAATTATAGCTGCCATTGTAATAACACATTATACTGTCTCGACGTTCTTTCTTATGCATTATTGAAAAGCAAAAGCATGCTTCAGCCCTTCATCAAGGGTCCTGGTCCCTGTTGGGGACCCCACATGGTGGCTGGCTGACAACCCTGGCTCCTCTCTGGGCAGCACCTGACCTCTCTCCATTGAGGCACTTTGCTCTTACACTGAAAGCTGCAGTCTGTGTTTAAAATATCTTTTCCAAAACTTATATTAAATCATATACCACACCCCTTCTATAAACCTTCCTGGCTTCAGTTTAGGGAGACTTTCTTCTTCCAACACCTTAAATTCCCTGTAAGTGGAATGCTGGGGCCACTTCCAAACACACCCACCAGCTGCAGACCACCTGCCATGGTTTATGTGTAATAAATGTCTACCTGGCCTCCCTTGTAACTTAGCCTTCCAGACCTGTCATTAGTGAGCCCTTTCTGGGGTGAGCAGAGGATTTCTTTTGCAATTGTTTGCTTAAGCAGGCCTCACATACCCAGTAACTGGGCACCACTAAGTCCAACTCTTTCCTGGAACTTGAGGCTTCTTTATAAGGCTCAGATAAGCCTGGTGCCATTCAGGAGAGGAAGACTTGCCACAAGGCTCAGAAACTACAGGACTCAACCTGAACACATGTTGTTTTACTTCTGAGCCAGGAAGTTTCATGAAGTTCCTTCCCTAGACTGAGTCTTGAATTTTTAAAGGACAGGCTCGAAAACAGACTTTTGCATCTGGAAGCTAAAATCTGTTTTTGGTCTTAGAATGACTTCTGAAATAACTTATGGTTTCAGCTAGAGCAGAGCCCTCTTGGACCAGAAGGAAGCCAAGAGGAGAGATGGGTAGCTCCCTACCCGCCTCCATGCCCATGCCTCCTGGCTGATCGTGGTTGCTTTTTACCTGAGAGTGGTCTACTGAAGCAGAAGCTTCAGTTGTCTGGGCATCCTGACTTTGAAAGAGGCAAGGAAGACCTTTCTTCCTTTTTTTATAAGCATTTTAATGCACTCATTAGGTGTCAGACATTATAAAAAGCACTCAAGGATAGAAAGAAAAATCACACTGTCCCCAGGCTTCCAAATGCTATTCAGTCGGTAATGAGTAGTTGATGCTCTCGAAAAGAATCAATTAAGAATAAATGTTTGGCGATATTTAAAAGTAGGCTTTAAAATTCTACTATACGCAGTTTTTCTTTTCAACATTTGTCTACCATTTAGAAATTGTGAAGCAGAGAGACTTACACAATGTTGGACCTTTGAGATCTTTTTTGGCCAACTCTTTCATTTGACAGACAAGGGAACTAAGGCTCACAGAGGCCCCCAGTGGGCCCACTCAAGGTCCCAGGGTAAGCAAGAGAGCTCCAGGGGTGGCCCCTGGAATCTTCCTCCGGTGTCCCTTCCCTCGTCCCTGGAAGGGTATGATGTGGCCCCTGCTGCTACAGCCCTGGTCCTCTCTGGGCCAATCCCCCATCCAGAGGAGCACAGTGGCCCTTGACAACTGTCTCTCTCCTACTTTGTATCTCACGGCAGAGCAATTGGTATTAGCAGGGAGGGCTCAGGACTGGGTAACTCCCTCTGAGAAAATAGCTGGGCCACTTACAAGGAATGCTTGACTCAGAGAAGCAAGGGGATTGTGCCTTTCTGGAATGAAAAGGGCAAGATCTAGGTAGGCTCACTATCCAGCTGGGTTTCTGGGATACCTGGGAGGGGTTCTATAGCTCCCACCCTGCAGTAAAGCCCTAATTCCAACCAGAGCATCTTCCTGCTAGACACGGGCTGTCTTCCCTCCCATGAAGAACAGTCTGCGTACTTAGTGATGTTTCCCAAGGCCTGATGTGTTAGGGCATAACGCCAGCAATGCCAAGCTTCTCTGGTCACCTAGCCCACAGGGTCTCCTCCAGGGCGGAGGTGGAATGGCTTCAAGACCTGACTGGCTGTGGAGCACACATAAGAAGGGGTGGGCCGTGCCAGGCAGAAGCCCAGCCTCCACTTGCCCTGAACTGCGCCCTGCACTGGCCCTGCACACACAGAGATACAGGCCCCCAAACTGGCAGCCTCTCCTTCGGCCCTGCAGCTCCTGGACTCCATACCGCAAGAGGAGATCCCAGGGGATCCATCAATGTAAGTGCTGCCTGTGTGTCTCTCCAAAGCCAGAGATCCATGATGGGGTTGCCCAGTGCCTCTGCTAACTTGGCGTGGGGGTGGGGGGTGGAACCAAGTCATCTGTTCCCTGATCCAGCCGGGTGTTGTCTTCTCCCCTTTGGCTTAGGGGCAACTGGCTCATACAGGTAGACCTTATGTCCATGGTTGAGCCCCTTGTCAGCATTAAGGTCAACCACTGCATCTTTGTTTTGCTTTTGTGCTCAGAGAAGTGAAGATGATCAAGTCTCCAAGGAGTGTGGCCCTGTGAGTAAAGTGTAGGGCCTGGAGCGCTGTGATGACACAGGTGAAAATCCCTCCTCTGCCCTAAGGAAGCATCTCCAAGCAAAGTAACCTCAGATGACTGTGCAGTTCTGAAAAGCGGAAGTGCCAGAAGGGTGGTTGGGACCGGGTGGCCACTTTGGTCCCTTCCACCCTGATCAGCTGTGGTCTCAGAGGGAGGCCAGGTGCTATCACCGACACTGCTCAGACCCTGCAGGGCCTGGCTAGTGTGGGAGTCCCCTCCCTGCAGATGAGCAGGGATGCCTCACCCGGACCTCCGTCCCCACGAATTGACACCCCCAACCAGGGTTGGTCTTCCAAGCAACATCTAAAAGGATATTTCTGGCGTGTTTTTCCTTTACAGCCACTTCCTGCGTATTAATGGCCTTATTGATGCTGACAGTCTGAAAAACAAGAGCGGGAGAGGGGAAAGGAGGATGAGATGAATAAGCTTCTGAGAATGGCTGAGACCCTCCCAGACGCCCCGCCCCTTGCTCTCCCCTCCACTTTTTCTCACTCTCCGGACCCGCAAAACCCCTATGCCACTGTCCCTGTACAGGGCCCCTGGCGGGGGGCAGAAGTGGGCAGCGCTCCCACGCCAGCTGCCCAGGCTGTCCTAAGGCAGTGGGCTTTGCCGCCTGGCATTAGCTGTGCCCAGCTGCTGTGCTTGCCTGCCACTCATTCACTTGGCACAACAGCATGGCAATTAAAGCCCACACAAAGGGATGCTTTTCAGTCCCCAGGGAAACGTTATTTCTCCGGGAGCAGGAGGAAGAGCCACTGAGATTGGGGAGGGGCTGTGACCCGAAGACCATCTAGCTACCCCACTTTCTCTCCAGTAGACCCTTCCGCGGAGCCTTCCCTAGGGGCCTGGGCAAGCAGTGGTCACTTCAGTCTCTTGTTTTCCCATTCATGGGCATTTTCCAACTCCTAACCAAATTCTCTTTTATGTGTTTACATAGATCAAGAGGCAATAAATATATTCACTTCTTCCCAGTTGCTTCAAAAATCTTAATTCTCTTTTTAACTTAGCAAAGCATGTGTACATATGAATACAACTTGCACAAACACATCAAGGGATCACATCAGGTAGGTTGCTTAAGCACAAAAGGCTTTTCCTTCTGGTTTGCTTTCCTTCTCATCCGTTAAGATGTCATTCTATCCCAACCCATGTTAACCTGCTATGCATCCCACCCCCCCAAACACAACCTGCATGTTAATTCTACCACTGTTCCACAGAAGTGGGATTGTCACGTTCACAATTTCCTACATCTTGCCTTTCTCACTTGAAAATAGCTGAAAAATTCAGAGTATAATTTACCAGCGGACTGGTAGAACTCTAGTTTCAACATGTGATTTACCCAAGCACTCTGGTGTTGGTAGGCAATCAGTTTTTATACCACTGTAAACTATTTTAGTAAACATTCTTATACTTCAATCCTTATTAAGTTATGTTTTTATTTCCAAGGGATAATTCCTAGGACTGGGATTGGTGGATCAAAGCAGTTTTTAAAAAACTTTTTATTATGGAAAAGTCCAAATACAGACAAATATGGAGACTAGGCTAATAAGGCCTCACATAGTCCCCACGGCCAACCATTATTAACTTGTAGTGAAACATGCTTCCTTATGGACAAGGGGTCACAAACATTTTCTGCGAAGGGCCAGTTTGTAAAGATTTTAGGTTTTGTAGGCTATATGGTCTCCATTGCAACTGTTCGACTCTACAGCTGGAGAGCAAAAGTAGCCTCAGAGATACTAGTCGAACACATAACCAAGTGAGCAGGGCTGCATTCCAATGGAACTTTATTTACAAAACCAGTGTGGTCTGGATTCGGCCTGTGCCTGTACTGTGCTGACCCTTGCTGTGTACCACTGGCCTCTGACCCCCTGACCCCCTGGCTCCCTGGCTCATCTGAAGTAAATCCCAGATGTAATACCATTTTACCAGTAAATACTTGAATATGAACCTCTAAGGGGAAAAATGGGGACTCTTTAAGAACTAACCATAATACTATTATCACACCTAAAATTTTAAGAATAATTCCTTAAAAATCATCAAATGGTAGGCGTTCACATGTTCCTATTGTGTCAAAACAAAAAAACTTGCAGTTTGTTCTAATCAGGATTCAAATGAGGTTGCTGGTTTTAGGGGTACAGGACACCTCATCAAGACTTCAGTTTGCATTTCCTGGACTCAGTGAGTTTGGAGTACAGTATGTTCTCATGGTGGATGACCTCACGTGGTTAAGTATGTTCATCTCATCTTTTATAGTGTCTACATTTACTTAAGGTTTCTCCTGCCCCTGGATTAATGCTTGTAAACTCTTACATATTCTTCTAAATGTTTAATTGCTTGTTTTTTACATTTGAGTATTTATCTGGACAAAATACATATACACATTCATGTGTATGTATATATATGTCATAAAATAGGTTATTTCTAGGCTTTGCCAAGACATGTTCTTTTATATATGGTTTATATAACTTTTGGGTGTGTTTTTTAAGTCTACTCTACCATTTTTCCTCTCTCTACCAGACTCATCTCTTTAAACTTTGTTGTGTCTCTGGCTCTGTGTCTCCCCCATAAAGCTATTTTCAAGTTCAAATCTCCCTGTACCTGTGAATATAATCTTATCTGGAAATATGGTCTTTGTAATTAGTTAAAATGAGGTTGTACTGGATAAGGGTGGGCCCTAAATCCAAAAGCTAGTTAGTCCTTATAGGACAGCCATGTGAAGACACAGGGACACAGACACACAGGGAGAAGATGGCTGAGTGAAGACAGGCAGAGGTTAGGGCAACACATCTACAAGCCAAGGGGCAGCAAGGATGGCCAGTAGCCACCAGAGCTGGAAGAGGTGAGGAAAGATTCCCCCCCAGAGCCTTCACAGGTAGACGGCCCTGCTAACATCTTGACTTTGGACTTCCAGCCTCCAGAACTGTGAGCAAATAAACTTCTGTTGCTTTAAGCCACCTAATTTGAGCTCGTTTGCCAGGGTAGCCCCAGGAGACTGACACAGGTAGAACTTGCCCTGAACTGCGCCCTGCAAATTACATCTGATTTATTAAGGACTGATTGCTTCCCAGTGTGTGTGTGTGTTGGCTGTAAATTGGAAATGTTCTGTGCTCCCTTCACCCGTCATAGGTGAGACCAGTCAAGGAGGAATCTCTTGTAAGAGAGGCTGCAAGAGAGAAGTGAAAAGCTTATTCCCCCCAAATCTCCCAGCGGGCAGTGCCTGTGTCCCACAGGGGCCCAGCTCCTATGGAGTGCCAGCTGCCCCCTCACAAGTCCTTGTGTGGACCTGGGTTCTCAACTTCTTCTCCCAGGCCACTATCTTGCCTCCACTTCCTCAGGTGTGTTATTGTGGTTTAAACGGTTTCTCCCCTGGCTCCAAGACAATGATGGGGTTCTGGCTGCAGTGACACCTCTGGGCAAAGTCCACATTTGCAGAGCCCCTAAAGGTTGCCTGCATCCTGTAAGGAACTGAAAGGGACATAAAGTGCAAAATGACAACAAGAACCAACTCTGGCAAGGGGCTGAACTGGATGTGGTCAGGCTCGGGGGTGCTTTGAAAGAGACAGTAGCCTGGGCCATGAGGAAGGAGAGACCCACATGGCCGGAAATGCTAGAAACCACTCAGGGCCTTGTGGGAGGACTCATGATGGGTGGGACTAAGATTTATTCCATGGGCATTTTTTTTACACCAACTGACCAATTGCCCACAAAAGCTTTGTAGTCATCATGAGTCTTGCCTGCAAAACAAAAAACACCTTCAAATTCCCTTAAGCAACAAAAAAGAATATACTATAAGTTTGTAAATATAGACCCTGTGTGTGTGTGTGTTGGCTGTAAATTGGAAATGTTCTGTGCTCTAAATGTTGAAAGAAGGGAGGAACCTCTTGAAACTGTGCTGCTGCTATGGGAAGACCTCTCTGGAGGGGTGACCCATTCAGGTGCCTTCCTCTGCCACGTATCTACTTCTCTCATTTATGCCTCAAAACACACTTGGGAGCATTTAGGATTATCGCACAGAAGGCTAAGTGACTTGTCCAAGGTCATATTATTAAGATCCAACCCTGGTCAACCAGGTCTTCAAACCCAGCCCGTGAAATACTCTAAGAGCTCTGGACAGTAGAGGGGCTCACAGGGGCTGGGTCATGGAGGGCATGCAGAGGATGTCAGGGGGAAAAGCACCAGAGAGAAAGGGCTGCAGCATCAAGCTGGTGTGGTGGGAGGGCAGTACGTATAAAGAGAGGAATGGAGATGAAGCCAGAAAGGGAGGTGGTGCTGGGTGTGGAAGGCCAGTGGGCTTCTCAGGGGCAGCAAGGGACAACAGCTGGAGGGAACCCGTCTAGCAGCACTGTACCAGGCAGAGGAGAGGTGGATGGATCCTGGAGTTGAAGGACAAAGCTATTATATAGCAGAGAAGTGTGGGAATAAAGCCCTCAACCAAAATGATGGAAGTGAAAATGGCAAAAACCCAGTATAAGGGGGGCTGTAAAGTTAATTTCAACAGGATTGGCCAGTAGGAACTCCCAGTCACAGAGGACACAGCAGAGGGAACATCAAAGATGCTGCAGAGATTCTGAACCAGGACAGGGGGTTTCACACTGAGGGGACTCTGTAAGCAAAGGATGGGGCCAGGAGGGTTTGGGGTGAGAAAGAGTCATTTTTAAAAGAATAAGCACATGAACTAGCAGTAGCAGTGGCTGTGATCATTAATATAATGGCAGCTAATGAGTGCCTACTACCAGGCTCTGTGCCTACTAAACAGCATTTGGGATTATCTCATTAAAGTCTTATAACTACATCCTACAAGTAGGGGCCTATTAGTATTAATCATCTCCATTTTACAGAGGAGGAAACCAAGGCTTAGACAGGTGAAATACTTTGCCCAAGGCCACTCCACTAGCAAGTGCAGCGCTAGGACTCAGACTCAGCAGAGAGGCTCTGCAGCTGAGGCTCTGAATCACAACCCCAGCACCAGACACAACCCCTCAACAACACAAAGACAGAATCAGGATCCAAATGCCTTTTCACAGACTGGAAAAATGGGTTAAATTTCACAAGATGCAATCTAGTAGGTATAAAGGAAATGTCCTATATTTAGATCTAAGTCACTGGCACAGGGGAGATATGACTCCAAGCAGCACTTGTGAACATGATTTAGGTGTTTTATTTAGCTGTTAAATTACAAAAGCAAAACTCTGATATGCTTGATGAGACTTGCAAGTCTCAGCTCTGGATGTATTAAAAGGAGTACAGTGTTCAGAATAAGGGAGGGGATGGTTCCAAGTCTCTATGCAAATCAATTTCATATGTAAAAACACTATTCAGTTTTAGGCTTTATATATCATGAGGGAAACTGACAACTAGACCACTGCTAAAAGAGCATGACCT